AGAAGTCACAGCTGCGATGGCTTGGGCATGTGTTGCGAATGCCTCCAGAAAGGAAGGCTAAGCAACTACTTCTTGGAAATCCGACCGGTAGAAGGCCCACGTGACGGTCAAGTTTAACCTGTCTTTTGCTGAAGCTCAGACTCTGGCGCAGGATCGGGAACGCTGGAAGCTCTGTCTGACGCGTCTGCCTACGCGACCCGAAAGGAGAAGCGGCGATGGAAGACGATGATAAAGGTACAGTCATTAAAGTCAAAATAATTCAGTATCATAAAATGGTACAATTAGCACAATCTAAACGATTCTTATGAATATCATTCATGTTTATATTTAACAGATACTGAAAAGAAAGAAACAAGGAAATAGTTGCCTTCTACACTTATCGAAGCCTTTGTGAACAGATTTGTAATCGCAAACAGTAAAGGCGGAAAAGTAACAACCTATGCACAGGTGTAAAGTAGAAAGACACATGCAAATTCAGATGTTTAATAACGCGAATTGATGGGGCGAAGACACTGAAGCCATTTAGCGAAAAAAGCTCTGCAAACAATTCTGATCAGTAAATTAACGTGGTCAAGCATCGCGAGGAAAAAAGTACATAGTTGATTTTGATTTCGGAAGTTGATTTTGATTCTAAGCCACGAACTCGTGAATCTTTTAAATTTCTGATTCAGTGGTTTTGGAGTGCACAAAAATGCTGATATTACGAAGTGAGTCTCGGTATACATCGTAACACCCGTTGCTAATTTTTCGTACTGAAGAAAGTCGCTGCTTTGTGACCGAAACGCTGACAAATGGGTAATAACTTTCGTAACACCAGCCTTCGTCATGCGCCCGAAATAACTGAATCAACGAATCGCTTTCGGAATACTTCTGATCTTGTAAGAATTTTAAACGAAACCGGCATACAGCAGGATGAACCAATGATTATGAATCCTTTGGATGTAGTTGCCTTGCACGAAAATATCAATTTAGATTGGTTGCTTGAAATACTTTGCGATGCTCTGTACAACACCAGAATCGACTGGAGCAACGCTGACCTGCTATTCGGAAATTTGAGTATGGAAGACATTGCGCCACTGGTCACCATTCTGACGACAAACGCATTCTTCACGTTTTGCTAACGTGGTGTACACGCAACGATTTTGGGTTCCGATGGGCTACCATAGCCGAGGTCTGCATGCAAAATTTTTAAAAGAAAGTTTCAGAGCATCATCCTAACAATACAAAACCTACTCTAAACTTTTGTTACATTGATGATATTTTCTTCATCATCATCAATAATCATACTGATTCATTCAATTTATGTCAAGAGGAAGTACCAATAACCTAAGAGGTACTTTAGAAAAAAGAGGTCAATAGTATGTTACCTTTTCT